TGGCCTTGGCTCGCTTGGACTAAGATCAGTACCAAGTATTGAAAATCATATGCTTGCTGCAATTAATGATAGATGGAGCATGCGTCAGTTTGGCTAGTAAATTTATGTTTACAGTCTGCCTGACCAGCAGGTGGAATGCACTCGCTTCGCATCCCGTTTTCGCCACGTTTCGCTCGTGGCTACGGTATCGCTTGTGCCCATGACATTCGTTGTCGTACACCTATGTCGGCAATGAATCATTGCGAATTACAGCTTCTGCACCTTTTACCTTTTGCGTTTGAATTCACAGCTGCTGCTACAAAAATCGCATGAAGACACCTATCACATGAATTATATCAGAACATGGATCAGCCTAAAGACACGCTACTGCGTAACACGTAAAAGAACCATCATTGGTGGTCGAACTTTTCCAGAACCCCTACTACAGCATTCATAGCCTGTGTAGCTTTGGAAAACTTAATCCCATCAAATTATACCACCCTTGCCTAAAGACTAAGTATCCTATTTGACAAAATGACACTTTGCGCTTTTAACTATGTACTGAAATCACTTTCTTTGCATTGTATCCACACATCTTTCTTGCTCAGAACATGCACAAATTAAACATTTAGGCCTGCATGTTTAAAATTAGGTGCATGTTTAAAACCCCAGGCGGTCAAAATTTCCGAAGCCGTAAATTATGGCGCCCTTCATAATCGAATTGTGGTTCATAATCAAATCGTGGTTAAACCCCCGATATTATTACACGCGCAAGTCTTGCGCTCCAAGACTACATCTTTCATGCAGCGTGAACCGAGCAGGAAGCCACACTCTAACTTGCGAGAACAGTTCAATTCACGCTGTCTGAAAATGAATGAACTAGAACATGAACAATGCCATCGCGTTTCAGATTCATTTATTGTGCAACGTTTACAAAAGCCATGACTGTGTGTTAACTCTGCTTTTCAAACTCGAAAGGAGCATAAGCTGTTGCATGCAATGGTTTATTGTCGAGATAAGTATACGACAGTGAACGCCATGGGCGTGCACGATAACGTAGCCACGAGCGAAACGTGGCGAAAACGGGATGCGAAGTAAATGCATTCGACACGCTAATCAGGCAAATTGAAAACCGAAATTTACTAGTGAAATCGACGCGCGCTCCATCTTTCCTTAACTGTAGCAAGCATATTATTTTTAACGCTTGGTGGTGCTGGCCTCAGTCCAAGTGAGCCGAGGTCACACGTCGCAGCGTTCGAGTTAAAAGTGCTGATGGCTGTACAGTATCCATTGTTATGAAAGAAACGCATGAACACGTGGCCTGTGCTCTGCCGCAGATGCCTATGGCACCATAAGCCGACAGATAAAGAAAGCATATTTGCTTTTTGTTGAATCTGTTAGCAAACAAAACGAGTCAAGGCCATTGGACAAGCACTGCTTCATTGTGCTCCTGCTCTGGTCTTGCAACGGGCGGTGCTGCCAAAAGCAGACGGGCTTTATCTGTCGGCTGATGGTGCTGTAGGCAGCCGTGCCGGAGCACAGACCACGCGCTCGTATGTTCCCTTTCGTAAAACTGGATACGATACACCAGCCATCATGTCTCGCTATAGTTAGCATGCGCAGAAAAAATTGCGATAGTTAAGGTAGGCTACAAACTGTTGACCCATGCTACTGAGCTGAAAGATGAAATAAATGTGTGTACTTACTGTCTATTATGCACATATGTGCTTTCCTCCTCATATAATTACATCAGACAGATTTTTATTGTTACATTAGACACTACTGTACTTTGTAAGAGAAGTATGGTGGACGAGGAATGATTGCAACCATGATAAACTGCTTCATTTCACATGCCCAAGTATTGCAGAGTACTATAAATTGACTTCTGGTTGGTTATGTTATCCATTGTAACCGCTTCAAAAAGGAGTTTCCAGTTTAACAAATGTTTTTGGTTGATACAAGCATGTGGTGCTTGCAGAAATTTTTTCTGATTTTTTTTTCTCAAGCATGGACGGGTGAAGGTTAAAACCACAGCTGAGCAAGAAGAGGAGAAAAGGAAAGAGAGGGAGAAAAAGCTGAAAATCTACAAAGCTGCAACACAGAAAGTAATCCAAAAAGTAAGCTTGTGAATCCTTATTCGCAACTTCAGCGGCTCATATTGTCATTCACATGGTTCATGCCTTGTGCAGCGTCAGAACCAGGAACTTGATGATGAGCTGCTGCATATCACAGGGCAAATCCTTCAGAGTAACCCCGACTACACTACCATGTGGAACATCCGTAGGGAGGTGTTCATGACACACTTCAGTAAAAGGCAAGTAGTACTGCACATATTAAACAAAAGCCATTCGCAAATGAAAGACACCATTAAAATTTTCAAAATAGCATTTTTAAGTACTGATGCTTAATTTTTGTTTAATTAGTTCACTAAAATGGCAGGACTGTCTTGTAAATGGGGTCGTGCTCATGATTCTGTTGCAACTGCAGGTCATTTTCATGTTTTAGTAGCTGTGACTCTGTAATGATATGGAATAATTGGATTTTAGTTTGAAGGATGGAGCCCCTAAAACAAGTCTGGGATCATTGCTAACTTTTAGATGTCAAGTTTTGTTTCTTTCTACATGACAGGTGACAGCGGTTTTGGGCACTAGTGGTAGCGGACAACTATGCCACCAAGGTCATCTGTTGTGATCTCATAGTAGCTCTTACTTTAAAATACATGTGGTCTTTTCCAAGTGAACAAGGTCGTCATTGTGACACAATTAGTTGCCAAAATTTGTTACGTCATCAATTGATGTCATCGGTATATCGATCCCGGTAGCAGTGCAAAAACCACGTTAGTTACATTCAGTTTGGGGCAGGAGGGTATGTTGGGAAGACCAATGCGATCGACTGAAAAGAAAGATGATGATAATGATGATGAAGGCTTGTCCCTTCAAGTGATCTTAGGTGAATGTGTAAGGGGCTGTGTGATTTTTTTTTTAGAATCTTAGAACTTTAAGATAAGGCTTTACTCTTTTACTACTGTTAGGCAATGAAAAGTTGAAAGTTGTCTCTTGCTACACAATTGAGGAAAATTTGGTTTTATGATGAAGGTATACATCATCTTGGTGTGGCCCCAAGATTTATATTTCATATTTGAGACCTCTTTATGAGCAGAGATGTAGCATAGTTTGCTGAAAGGCCTATGGTTTAATAGCACATTTATTTCACCATTTCACCTTTATATATATATATATATATATATATATATATATATATATATATATATATATTTTGTAACTTTGCAGGAAAAAAAAAATTGAATGCATTCTGGTATCACGTTTCAAGACTATTCATTGTTTGAAAAAGAAAGTGTATGTACATTAGCCCAGACACATGCTAATTGACACATGCATGCTTATATTATTCATTTATTCATCTATTTCATGATACTTCATGCCAACTTTTTGCCCATGGAGGAGAAGCAATGCAATGGATAAAAATACATTCTAACAAAAGGGTGATAGGTGAAAGATTGAACAAATAGAATGAAAATGTGGTGCATGTGTGTTATTAATCCAATCAACATTTTTGTAGAGACTGGACAAAGCTGGAACACTGGATGATTGCCTCATAAAGACCGTTCCTGTTAGAAATGGCTTGTGGGAAGAAACAGTGTTTCAATGTTTTCATTCTTGCAAAATGGATACATACATTCATTCACCTATATACTACACCGCACACATGAATGTAAAATAGTGGCAGGAGTTGACTACAACCTTCCAAATAAAAGACATAGACTAGTTAGGTGTGCCTGTATCAGTGTGCAAAAGTTCAAAATCTTTTATACCAATCAGTGTTTCTAGGACATTGTTAGATTTATCAAACAAAGCAGAGAGTTACTTCTAAATTATGGTCGTGCGATTGTACAGGCAAAAATAGCACATCATAGTCTCGTGGAGTAATCAAAAGAATGTTGCATCACTTCAATCTCTGAACACCTCTAGTTTGGTCTGTGCATTGTTTTATTAAAAAGTTGCAGTGATCATTCCAATTATGGATTTGTTTTGTAAAGAGGCAAAGTTGGCCACTGTTGCAGTTCTTGCTTTTCGCACCGAGTTTCAGTTACTGTTGCAGTATATATGTTTTTTTTATGGTGGTAATTTACAACACTCAAACATATGAAATGGCCTATGTTTTTTGCTTATTGCACTACCTGTGACTTGGCCAGTTTTTTTGATATTGCTAGAATATTTTTGTGATTTGAGCTGTGAAGTTCATATTTAAAGGAATACCTACACAGAAAAATTTTGTGTTCTATTTATTTGAAATTTTATCTAATGAAACACTTAATATGGCTGAAAACCTTGTTTTCCTCAGCGAGCAATGATTATTTATTTGGAGAAATTTTTATGGCACCCAGTTTCAGTTTTGGTTCCACGGATCAATGAGCAAGGCAGGTCCAAAAGGTAAACTCAGCTAGCCATGAGACCACATAAAACTGTGATGTGTGAAGGGTATGAGGTCTCGATGATGGCATCCCACCGCTGTTGAGGGTAGGAGGTCGATGGTAGGTACGGTGGGTTTTCTTTAGGGTAGCTGGCTTCCCGCCGTCGTCCACATAACCGATGCTCGCTAGTGAGGAGATGCGTTAAGAGATATAGAACAAAGGTTTATTTACATGATAGTTGAAAGATGGGAACTGTACAGGGATTTAGAAGATCCTGCATTATGTACAACAAAAATTCAGTTCATGATACAGCACAATTCAGCGCTTATTTACAAAATGCTTCGGCTATTATAGGCTGCCGTCTCCTTACACGGAGGTCCGACGAAGGCGGTGAACACTCTCACCACAAATCAGGTGACAAAGTCTCAATGGTCCACCCACCAGAAAGGGTGCACATATTGCACCACTCGGCTGGAGGAAAAGGTCCAATGGTAGCACAATCACACCACACAATGACGCACACAGCCCACACCTTGAAGGCACCGCAGGGCGAGGAGGTAGAGTCTGGAGAGGGAATGTTGAGCTCCTCCGGGGAGATGGCCGCTGAACCGAACGTCAGCAGCGGTCCATGGCTGCTTTCAGCTACAGGCTTCCAGAACTCTCTCGAACATGGCAATCCAAACGCTCGATCCCTAAGAACGGCTTCTTTGACGTCTTCCCACGCTTACGGACTGACGGTGCTTTGCGATGGCCTTGCGGAGATGACAATAGCCGAGTCGAGAGGTTTACTTAATGAGACCAGCCACAGTGGCGCAGTCTCATGCTGTTTGAGCCCGTTCAACAAAAGGTTTGTCTCGTGAAACTTTCGTTGAGACCCGATCGCTACCTGGAACCTCTACAGGACAGCGTCTTGCAGACTGGGCGCCGATAGGGTTGAAAGCATCGCTTTCAAACCGGCTTACGCACTAGCTGCCAGACCAATTACCGGGTCGAACGTAACAGCTCCTCCGCTGTCCTGAAAATCTCGGCTGGCCAGCGCTCCCAACCACTGGGCTCGAAGAGAATAGCTGGTGACGAGGTCGATGGCCTGGCTTGGAACCTCCAGCTGCGAACTTGCAACCAACTTCCAAACCACCTCACAATGACTGACACCAGCAAAACGAACCGCACAACACAATACCATGCTGCAGTCAAGTGCATTGGACTCGCTTAAAGCCCTCCAGGCTTCTAAAAAAATACAAACAAAAGAAAAACCCACGCGCTAAGATTTTGTCAATTTTGTGCCGTCAAAGTTACAACAACCATGGATGTGGAGATGCTTACTAAAGATTGAACAGTTTCTATGCGAGAAAAGCACACAAAGGCAAATACAATTTGGCCCTAGATAACCATAATCACACTCTTTCAAAACTAGCTTTCTCCTACCATCCGCACTACTAAGTTGTAACTTACATCTGCTAATTTCATGACAAACTTCATGAAACACAACTACTTAATTTTCACACAAATGCAGCCTAAACCTACAAAAGGTATCTGGGCGCATTCTTTATTCTTTCAAACATACTGAAAACGTAGTCGTGAGTGCCTACTTGTAAAACACCCTGACGCTAACGAAAACTCACTCACAACAGATCGAACTGTGTCTTATAAATCCTAGAAATGTGTCTCTAGCCTCACAGTTCAGTGAACGCAACACTCTCAGCTCAAGTGATCATGTGATCCCTATAAGCAATCACTAAAACAGCAATATAAAGTAAATAGACCTCTTGTACTACACGCTCTTTTGCTGAATGTAACCTCATGTCAGCCCATGCTTTTAAAGAACACGCAGGACTTTGCTATGCGCCCTAGCATGACATCATACTCTCATTCGAAGAAGGTTAGCATATTAACCCACACCTACCCATAGGCCATTTCCCTGTAACTCAACTAAGCTCAACTAATCACGTGTCTGAACGTCGATGCTCACAAAGAATAACACGCAAAGAAAATAACACTTGATGCCGTACACGTCAGGAGCGCGTAACAAAACCTGCGTAAGTTTTGTACCAAAGAACCCTGTATCAAATGATTCTCAAACGTGAGCATTTCGAAAACTGCTTTTGGCTTTATTCTAAAACCTTATTTAAGAATGCTTATTTACTCTTTTAAAGCGGTGTAAAACTTCGCACTACACCAAAGGGTACGAAGCATACAAATTTCGGCTCCGCTCGACAATGCTACCGTGCTTTCGAAACTAGCGGGCGTACCAAATCTTCATCCACGACTAACCTGCTCTTATATTAAAGAAAAACTCATTGCACGCAGTCGGTTGACTGATGTGGTTCACTGCATCCCCATGATGATTAACAACTTGACTGAAAATTCTTACAAAGTTTACAAAAAAGTATTGAAGGGAAAAACTAACTAAACAAACGCAGCTGTGGAGATGACACAGGAATACTACTTGAAAACCAAAAATAAGCAAATAAATATGCTTCTAAGAAAATTCCTGTATCCTGTGTTCTCCAGCTTACAGCTCTCTCTCGCTCTTTAATCGTACCCATGGTGGTCTCGGTCTTGGTGCATTTCGAGAACGCCCGAGACTAAACAGTGTACGTGCTACCAGCCGAACTGCAGCGTTAGGCCTCATTCGCGATTTCAGCCGACTTCTGTCAATCTGGCGGAGGGCATCCGAGCAACGCGTGGGAAAGAGTGGCGATGTTTTCTTTTTGGCAACCGCACGGTGCTTATACACTGTGGCCCTTCTTCTAGGACTCTTTGGACACTCCTGTCCCCGCAAAGCTGCAAATCTCCAGCATGCATTCCGTCGGGAGGATGCACCCCGTGGCCTATCCTTTCGCCGCTGGAGCCTTACTTCACGCCACAAAGGCCTCTTCTTT